CTGTGCTCTATTCACTACCCTGTCAGTAACACTGAGCCCTGTGCTCTATTCACTACCCTGTCACTAAGACCGACCCCTGTGCTCTATTCACTACCCTGCCACTAACATCGACTGTGACAGAGCGCAGCATGTCTGACCCTGTAAATCAGCGGTTTTCCCACTGGTCATGAACAGAAGACACTATGGCATGCTTTGGTGTATTATAACTTACTTTGTTGATGTTTGTGTCAAGTTACTGAGGGTAGTCTTCCGGGTGTGCTCCAGGAAACTGGAGTGCAGGTCGGACGAAGTCTTTCTGTGCTCGGGTCACGTTTCACGGTGGGAGAGCTCATTGGAGCAGGTGGGCCGTATGGTACTTTTGTTTTATTAACATTGTGCTACCTGATGTTTTTATGCCTTAATACATTGGTTCTGGAGTGTATACTGTGCAGGCGAAATGTTTAAAATGGTAAAGGCTTGGGTTTGACAGTTGATTGATTGTGGAGTGATCGATGCTATTGCCTAGCATTTTAAATATGTCCTGCGTGGCTCAGTTGGGAGTTCTACCTCTGCCGTGAGAGGACGTATGGGATTGTGCTGTGTTTTGTCCTGCCGGTAGCCTACAAGGATATTGATAAAGGAAAAGTCTATTTTTTGAAGATTTCCGTGAAGCTGTCTTATCATTTTGCCCTGACTAACTCATCCGCTCTGGCACACTCCATTACACCGACCCCTGTGCTCTATTTACTACCCTGTCAGTAACACTGACCCCTGTGCTCTATTCACTACCATGTCACTAACACTGACTCCTGTGCTCTATTCACTACCTTGTCAGTAACACTGACCCCTGTCCTCTATTCCCTACACTGTCATTAACACTGACCCCTGTGCTCTATTCACTACCTTGTCAGTAACACTGACCCCTGTCCTCTATTCCCTACACTGTCATTAACACTGACCCCTGTGCTCTATTCCCTACACTGTCATTAACACTGACCCCTGTGCTCTATTCACTACACTGTCATTAACACTGACCCCTGTGCTCTATTCCCTACACTGTCAGTAACACTGACCCCTGTGCTCTATTCACTACCCTGTCAGTAACACTGACCCCTGTGCT